AGCCAGTTTCAGTAAAGGTGCCCATGAGACTATCATCAACTGCCATTAAAAACATAATTGGATCACTATTGTGCTTTAGAGAAGGAAATCTGCTTCTCTTACCTGGTCTGGCCTACATGTGACTCCAGAGCCACAGCAAAGTGGTTGACTCTGAGAAAGCCACACAATTCAGGGGAAATTAGTGATGAGCAACAATGGTCAGCTATGCCTACATCCTGTAAAAGAATAAAAAGAGGTCAATTCGTGAACACAAATAGCAGTGTAATAAAGGTCAGACATTGTTTTGCTGATATTAATTCATGAATATTGACCACAATCTCAGAGAGAACTCCCTGCTCTTCTCTAAAACAGTAACGTGGATTCTCTTATATCCTACTGTGCAGGCAGCAGGATGTTTGATTTAAAAGGCAGCACCTCTGACAGTGCAATACTCGCTCAATAATGGTATGTCAGCTGAGGTATTGTTTAAAGATTGTTTTTACTTTTTGGTTTGTGGACTGAAAATGGGAAACCTTAATGTTTTAAGCCAAGGAATCTGTGGAAGAAGATGTTGCAGTTTTAAAAATGAGTTATTGAAATTTAATGAGTTGTGTCTGGCTTGTTGTCTTATTCAAGCAGTTGGAGTGAGGGGATTGGGCAGGGGTATGTTAGACAGATCGGCAATATGTGGGTGTGTTCTGGGCAGTTTTGCCTGGAAAGGTCTTTTGATTCATTTTTCAATTGACCATCTGTGTGGATTCAAAAGAACTCAGTAGAGCAGAATGGATGAAAGGCAGCACTGGTGTGCAAACAATCTCATCTTATCAACAATGTCCCTTCAATATAAATCTGGAATTAAGAGTCTAATGATGACCATGAAACCATTGTCAATTGTTGAGAATGCCCACCTGGCTCAGTTTTAGGAAGGAAAATGCTCTCCATACTTGGTCTGGCCTACCAGGTGACTCCAGACCCACAGCATTGGTTGTAGTTTCAATACAGGGTTCCAGCATCTGCAGTAACTTACTCCCACAGCAATGTGGTCGACTTTCTCCTGCCCTCTGGTTAATTGGGAAGGGTTACAAATGCTGGCCTAGTCAGTGACGCCCACCTTCAATGACATAATTTAAAAAAGCAAAGAGAAAAGGAAAATGGAAGAAATGGAAAGTAAAACATCTGATCAACTCCTGTTGTCCAGCTTGGTGCTATTAAACAGTTTCTCCTTGATTTGCTATTCATTTTCCATCCTTCATATCCTAATCCTGTCTCTTTGTGTCTCTGTTTATATGCGTATGGGAATTATCAAAATAGGTAGAGTTTAAGTTATAGTGTTTTAAGTTAGCAATCCCTATTTCATTCTTGACATTCGATAAGAACAGTTTGAGTACAATAAATATTTCATGATTATCTAAAAAGCTTAGTGTGCATACTCTGTTAAATTTAATTAGACAGTTAGGTAAAATTGTGCAATTTGGTGATTTAATCAAATTTTCACATTTGTGATGACTCTGGAGATCTAGCGCAATAACCAGTGGGTCATGAAAATTGAACTTAAATCACTGTAGTGGGACTTGAACCTACAATCTCCAGTCCATGGGGATTAGACTCAAGTCAGGTGTTACGATGATGGATCAGAACCCCAAAGTATATATAGACGTGTCATTCTTTTGATTCCAAATTCTTTTAGTTTTGAAAAGGACTGCTACAGTGAGGAAAAATAAAACTTCAGATAAATTGACTGTCTGGCAAAATCCTGCATGAAGCCCATTAAATGTGTGCCTATAAAATGTCAGGGAAACTTCAAGCAGAGAGAGACACAACAAGAAGAAATAATGAGCGATTCACCATCCACCTTCTCAGCAGAAAGCTAACTCTTGCCAACTTGCCTGTTTTATCCTTCAGGAACACACAAAAATGAAGTATTAAAAATTATCTGCAACAATATGTCTGTGTGTTATTATCTGAACAGCCTAATGTCTAGACTAGAATGCTATAAATACACCCACACTGCAGGTAAAACAAAGGGAAGATACACTCCCACTCTGAATATTGGAATTCAATGATTATTGAAAGGAATCAGGACAACAGAATTTCTACCGACCTGCAAAACCAAGAATCTCAAAACCAACTGCTCAACTGCCAACATCGCCACTACTGTGCTATCCAATAATGACTAAAACATCATTTTACCTGCTATACACAAACAATTCAGACTCATATAATTTTCTTCACAATTATCTTTTTGGACTCAGCTCTTATTTCTAATGTGTGTGCGTGGGATGCTTCTCACAATTAGTAATTAATAAACTTATTCCTTTTGTTAATTCTAGAAAGCCCAGTTAAATTGGCTCCTTTTAAAACAAAGTTAGTTTAGGTCCTGGGAGAAAGACATCCACAAAGTGAGGGATCTTTTAAAATTATCTTGTTGCAACCAACTGAGGGGATGGGTGAATAACCAACAGGACCAATTCATGCCTCCTCACTCCAGAGCTTGACAATTTGGTGCATCCCATCTGGAACCATAACAAATTGGGGAATGTCACACAAGGACTGGTCATAACACTGAGCAAGACAAAACAATGTAGTTGCTTGTTTTCCAAGATAGAGTGAACCTACTGACTCTTTCAGTAACTACTGATTCAATAGCAAGCTAGACCTCTTCTCGGCTGGGATGGAGATACATTACTACATATCAGAGGTGTGTGAGCTGTACCACAAGTTTGTGTTGATGAGATCTCCTGGACTAGTTTTGATCATCTAAAAGGGCCAGGGAAGAGTTTTTCAGATATACGTGGATAGACTGGTCCCTTTGACCATGTCTGCCATTATTTTAAAATGGGATGAGAGTGTTGCCCATTTGTTGCCTAGCCCAAAGAGCTCTTGTCATGAGTGAGCTGCTTTCTTGAACCATTGCAGTCTGTGTGGTGAAGGGAAGGGAGTTCTAAGATTTTGATCATGAAGGAAAGGCCCAATTCTTTCATCACAAGATGTTTTCTAGATGTGCACCCCCCTGCAGTGTAAGCCTAGATTGTGGTGCTCGGGTTTCTGGAACAAAACTTGAACCCACAGCTTGGAGGGAACAGTGTTACGTACATTGCACTACGGGGTGGCTTGGAACAGATCAGGACTGAGGCAGGAAGAGAATGGAGCAGACTCAGAGCAAGAGAGTGGGACAGTGTTGAAGAGAGAACATGGGACAGTATCAAGGGGAGAGGGGTGGAGAGAGAGAGAGAAAGAGTGAGGAACAGTCTCAGGGGAGAAAGCGAACAGCATCCAGAAAGTAAGTGGGTGAGTCATGGGAGGGAGAGAGTGGGGCAGTCTCAAGGGTGCACTGGGAAGAGTGGGACTGTGTCAGAGGGAGTGAATTGGGTAGTAGAAACACTTGAAGAAAATGCTAAGAAATTGAATTTTAAAACCACATGATAATTCTTACGCTAGTTATCTGGGCTCCAAGATTGTTATCATATTGTCAGCTATACTCCAGTTAGTTTAAGCAATTATTGAGTAATGAATTTTCATTTGTATTACTCCAGGAGTTTATATGCTTGATTATTGGTGTCATTATGGACAAAGAATACTCATCAGAAAGGAGGAGATGCTTACGCTGCATATTGAGGATGAATATTATTACATTCATTTTATCCTGCTATTTTCACCAGTTTAGCTAAAGTTTGCTAAAAGGAACATTAAATACTTCTTAATTCAGACTTGCAGTAACTACAGGATATTATTTTCTTAGATTAGTTGATATTCCTTTGTTTGAATTTGACCAAACATCCCAGAAGTTAATAAGTAGAAAGTGGACTAGGCCACTTGGTCTGCAAGCAGCCTAGTGGATTGGCACCTCATTCAGCATTTTCAAAATTCACTCCCCCCAGTGGGTGTGCTGTGGCAGCAGTGTATACCATCTACAAGAGGCACCGCAGCAACTCACCAAGGCTCCTTCCAAAGCTCCCTCCACACCCATCTGGAAAAACATTGATAGCAGATACATGGGAACTCCAACACCCCCAGGTCTCCCTCCAAATCACACACGATCCTGGCTTGGAACTGTATGTCTGCTCCTTCATACTGTCACTGGGTCAAAATCCTGGAACTCCCTTCCTACAGCACTTTTGATGTACCTATTGGCACATGGGCTGCAGCAGCTCAAGGCATCACCTCCAGGGCAATTAGGGAGGAGCAATAAATGCTGGACCAGGGAAGGCTGTTCCCCATGAATCAATACATTGGATAAAACAAATTCAAGGCTGGGCTTCTGTCTGAACCCCACTTCCTTTACTTATCCCCATACCCTCCATTACCCCAACATCAACTGATCGCAGTCTTGAATAAATGGAAAGACTCAGCCTTTCTGTCGGGGATAAAATTCTGAAGATTCACATTTCTTTTCATCTGTGTGCTAAATGACTGACTTTTTAATCTGACTTTATGGTCTATGTACCCCAACTAGTGCAAAACCACCCTCACCATCTACTCTGTCAACTCCTTTAAGTATTTTACCAATAAAATAATTTACTTTTGAATACAAGTTTTTAAAAAAATTTTTAATCAGTCCAGGGCAGTGCGTTACACCTTCACAATGTCATTCTCCCTTTGAGCCCATTTCTGTCAGTCATAAATGCTCGATGTCAGTTTTTCTTTGCAGTCACCCCTTTTCTCCTGTCCTGGCCTGGCACATACACAGACTGTGAAGAATCTGCTAAAATTCAAGCCCAGGATACCTGATGGGATTATCGGCGAGATTTTCTCTGAGGGTGGGCAGGATTCCCCCAATATGTTGCGAGTTTGGAAGTTATTTGCAGATTACTGTAGGTACAGAGGAGGGTTGGGAAAGGTCTAGGAGGAGGGAGGGGGTTTGCTTAAATAACAAAAGGGATGATGGTGCAAGGTTGAATCCTTAATTCCTGAAGGCACGCTTTCCATAGGATGTTATCTTGCGTGGAGAGAGTTAGATGCTCAGAAAGAAAACACGTTTAAAAAGGAGGAAGAAAAGGGCACAGATGCGGGAAATTGCCGCACCCTGTTACGTGTGTGAATACTGCAGCTGCTGTATGTGTGCGAGACAGAGACTCCGCCTTGGTAAATCTCATTGCTTTCAACTCTAGTCTGCACAAAGGGAGGAGGATCATTTTTATCTGCTACCCTCTCAGTCCTGGTTGCAGCTTTGAGTGTCCTTCTCTTCTCTGGGTGCCTTTTCTCCCTTTAAATCTCTCTCTCCTTAAACCTACCCCTACCTCTGCTTATCCCCCCCGTCTCTCTATCCCTGCTTCTGGTCCTGCCTGGCACTGACGGCATGTTTTATGAATGAACATTGGACCTCGAGAGAAGCTCAGGGCTTTAAAGTCACCACTGGGAAGCTGCTGGCGAAGGAACGGGCACGATATTTTTGAACGGGAACAAAAGGGGGAGAGAGCGAGAGAGAAAAAAAGGAACCGGAGCTGGTGCCAAGTTTGTTACCTGGCTGTGTCTGAACCTGCGGGAGTGCCTGCAAGGTAAGAAACAGAGAGAGAGAAAAAACACGGCTATGCAGTGTAAACAGAGACTTAAATACCTCACCTGTCCTCCTGCCTATCAGTTACCTTTTACGTAAGCATTTTTTAAAAACTAAGATTGCTCATGACTGGCTGAAAGACTATCTCTATTCTGTTGGCGCATTAAGGTAAATGAATGCTTCACCTCCCACACCTTGCTGCACTTTGATCGGTATAGCAACGTTAATAAATAAAAGAGCCGAAGAAGGCACCTGTTCAATGAAAACCAGCCCCTCATTTCCTTCAGCCTCTTAGAGTAAGGGCACGTCTCTAAAACAAAATCCTGAACCCACAAGGCGCCTGGCTCCCAAAAAAACCTTTTTTTTTTAACCGAAAAACGAAAATGTGCAATTCCTTTCGGTTTGATTAGTGTACACTTTTTGTATTGTCTGTTTACTAAAGCCCTTCCGCCTGCCATTTCTCCGAGATGAACGTTGCTTTTTTTTTAAACAAAAAGAACTGGTGTTGTTTTCATTATTTGGCCATGTTTCCTAAACTCAGTTTTGCCCTCTCCTGGATCTACTGGAGTGTGACACCTGCATGTTTCAGTAAGGTCAGAAATCAGCCGACACCAGGTTTGAGTCCAACAGTTTATTTGAAAACACAGGCTTTCTGAGCCTCGCTCCTTCCTCAGGTGTTAAATTTGACATTCCTGATTCAATGAGTTTTAAGCGTCAAAACTCTTATTCCTCTGGTTGAGAACATTTTTTCTCAATGGATACATAACCCGCAGACAGCAGTGACCCCTCCCTGCAACCCTGTTGCCCTAACCTCTGGCTCCTAAGTATCAGGCTTCCCTCAAATCTTACCAACTGTCCACGTCCTGCTCCATAGTCCGTTCTCTTCTTCATTGGTGACACTACATTATACTGCCAGGACTCATGCTCTAGAATTCTCTTTAAGGAGTACTTGAAACCTGCCTCTTTGATCAAACATTTGGCTCTCTATCTCCTTAAGTAGCTCGCTTGTCAAATTTTGTCTTTGCACATTCCTGTGAAACATCTGGGAAAGTTTTCACTATTCTCAAGGCACCATATAAATCTAAGTTGTTGCAATGTAGTAAGATGGAGTGAGTTAAAATAAGTCCTATGAAAGAGAGAGTTGTACAGCATGAAAACAGACCCTTCGGTCCCACTTGTCCATGCCAACCAGATATCCTAAAGTAATCCAGTCCTGTTTGCCAGCGTTTGGCCCATCTCCCTCTAAATCCTTCACATTCATGTATCCATCCAGATGCCTTTTAAATGTCGTAGTTCTAACAGTCTCCTCTACTTCCTCTGGCAGCTCACTCTATACATGCACCACCCTCTGCGTGAAAAAGTTGCCCCATAGGTCCCTTTTAAATCTTTCCCCTCTCACCTTGAAACCACTAGTTTTGGACACCCCTACCCTGGGGAAAAGACCCTGATTATTCACCATATTCGCACCCCCCTCCTGATTTTATAAACCTCTATAAGGTCACCCCTAGCCTCTGAAGCTCTGGGGAAATAGCCCCAGTCTATTCACCCTCTCCCTATAGCTCAAACTCTCCAACTTGGCACCATCCTTGTAAATCTTTTCTGCACATTTTCAAGTTTAACAGCATGTTTTAAAAATTCGATTTGTGGGATGTGGGTGTCGCTGGCTGGGCCAACGTTTATAACCTGTCCGTAGTTGCCCTTGAGAAGGTGGTGCTGAGCTGACTTCTGGAACCGCTGCAGCCCACCTTTTCTATAGGAGGGAGACCAGAATTGAATGGTGTCTGTAATAGTCTATGATAGAATGGGATGTAATATAAACTTGTGGTTTGCGTCCAAGAGAAAGTAGCATGGAAAGAAGTTAGTGTAACGGACTGTTTTCATAACAGTAAATATGTTATAATGAAGTTAGTGCTTTATTGGCAGCAATCTTTGAGAGATATTGAAATTACTCCAACGAACCACACAGTAGTTTCAGATATGCATCCAGTTGGTGATGGCAATGAGTTCAGGAGGTTAAAAATTGTCATGGTTTATAGCTCTCGTGAGCAACCAGACACTCCTAGAGGAAGTGTGTGCATCGGGGTGGTCTGGGGCTCAGTTGTGTTGCAGTCACATTTGTGTGGCCGGCAGGCCGATGCTGAGACTGAGACCAGAGGCATGAAGTGTGACACCCATCCGTCTCTCGCGCTCTCTCTCTCTCTCTCTCTCTCTCTCTCTCACATTCACTCACTGTGGAGCTGAGGTCTAGTAAAGAGTTGGAAATTCAAGAATACTAGCCAGGAAATTTTTGTTAAAAGTGAGTGGGTGCAGCAGATTTGATCACCAGGGCCCTGGACCTAACAGTGTCCTCCCTTTATATCAATGGGAGAGTGCCCAACAATACCCAGAGCTTAAATTCAAACCATTTTCTTAGTTGTTATGTGAACCTAAATTTATGGTGGCAAATCATCTAAAATATAGAAGTCAACCATTTCTCCTGCAGTAGAAACCCCAAAAGACTCTGCTCCACGTTCCTTTATCCAGTTTCAAAGAATATTAACACAAAATGTTGTAATTCCAGTTTCGTTGTAATAGAAGCAAAAACCATCCTTCCCCCAAGATGGTGTCTCCCCTTGCACCAGTTTTATCAATTTGAAAGATGGCAATTCCAGTGATCCTGGACACCCTGTCATACTGCTCTTGGAATGCCAGCTCTGATTGTGTGCTCTATTCCTTGGAACAGGACTTGGATGATTGAACATCAATTTCACAGTTTAGCAGAGAATCAGAGTGTGTGAGTGTAGGGAGGGGGCATAAAGTTCAGTTTGATTTAAAAATATGTTCCAGAATTGAAACTATAGCACGAATCAGTTCCTCTCTCCCATCTTAGTCAAAGTTAAACATTGTGCCATTTATTGAGGATAAACGGTTTGAAATTATGCATTAGTTTTAGTCAAGAAGTCTCAATTTTCAAGCTCTCAATCTTGTTTTCAATTCACTCTATGTCCTCCCTGATCTCTTTAACCTCCTCCAGTCTTCCAACTCCCCAACATATCTGCTCTCCTCCAATTCTGTTCATCTATGCAACCCTGATTTTAATTGCTGCACCGTAGGCAGCTGCATGCATTCTGTCCAGACTTTAAGCTCCTCACTTCCCTCCCTACACTTCTGTCTGTCTTTCCTCTTTTTTTAAGTAACCCCTAAAATTTACCTCTTTGATCAAGCTTTTGGCTGTGTGTCCTCCTAGCTCCTTATGCGACATGTCTTGCATTTTATTTGATTAATGGCCCTGTGAAGTGCCTTGGGATATTTTGAAAAACATTCTTGCATGGGAAATGGGCAAAGCCAGCATTTTTTTTTTCCCCAACCCCAAATGCCCTTGAAAGGAATGACTTGCTAGACTATTTCAGAGGGCAGTTAAGAGTTAACTATATTATTTTGGTTCTAGAGACAAACATATGTTTCCTTTCCTAACAATAATTGGTGATGCTTTCACATTTAGCATTATTGAGACAAGTTTTCAATTCCAGATTTATTAACTTTATTTAAATTCGACCAGCTAGTGCAATGGGATTTCAACCCATGTCACCAAATCGTTAGCTTCGCCCTGTAGACTTCTAGTCCAGGGATATGACTACGATGCCATCTGCTTTTGCTGCCCATTTAATTACCTCAAAAGATGCTAATTAAATGCAGGTTGCTGCTGAAACCAGAGTAAAAGTCTCTTTTCAAACAGAAGAGTACTGCACTGCCATTTGTTGCTGTTGTGTATTGTTTAATGTATTTAAAAAATGAGAATTTTAAAAATTAGACTGCTGTTTATAATCTGTACTATGAGGTCAACTTCTCATAGCTACTGGTCAGGTCTACAGAGTCAACTGCAGTTAGCTATTTCAGGAATTGGAGCTGACGCAGAGCTCCCAAAGGATGCAGCGATGACTTTTAATCAACTGTCTGTCCTGTGGGTGGAAGATAATTATCATATTTTACTTAATGCACACTACTGAAGCTATTGTGCTAAAGATCATTTGGATGTCTTTGAACTGTTAATATATAGATGACAGAAATGGGCAAAATAAGAAGATGGAAAGTTCGCCTCATGTCTGGGTCTGTTATGGATCAATTGCTAGAGAGACTGCTTGCTATGATTAGTCAGTAAAACTGTTATCATATCATGTGGTATTCAAGATGATAGGAGGCAAACAAGCTGGGTCTTGACCTTTTATCTTTCAGCAGTGTCTGTGGATAGGAGTCTGTACTCAGACAGTAATGTAATATTTCAATTTGCAAAGTAAGCTTTAAGGACTCTGAGCAGAACTGCTCATGTTGCAATCCATGAAATACAATTGCACATCTTTTTACTTTCCTATATATTTTCATGTCTTTGAGTCAAAAGTATTTGTGCCTTAATGTGTGTCCGTCTTCTATCTCCCTTTGTTTTTACTGGGAGCCAGTGCGTGTTGTCCACGTGATAGATCCACTTTACCTCAGTATTTCTGCACAGACCTTTGGTTGTTCATTGGATGTGAGCATTCGTCCAGCAGTTCTTCTGCATTCCTAATTGCCCTTGAGAAGGTGGTGAGTTGCTTTCTTGAATAGCTGCAGTCTATATGATGAGGGGTGGACGTTCCAGGATTACACTCAGCAACAGTGCGGCAATACACTGTACTTTCTGTAGTATTTCCCAGATGATCACTCCTGGTATCTTGTGATATTTGCAATCTGTACCAGTGTGTAGTACTGGGTTAGTATGATGCCACAATGTAGGACGTAGTATACAAAAAGAAATATTGGGTGCTTATGATAGAAGGGTGAACACAATTGTGGGTGACTAATCTACCAAATAAACTGAAAAAAAATCAGATTGTCAGTAATAGCCTGGACGAGGATTCATGGAATATTTTGGGATGGTTTCTTAGAATAGCACGGTAGCACTGCTGCCTTACAGTGTCAGGGATCTTGGTTCGATTCCACTCTCTGGCAACTATCGGTGTGGAGTTGCATTCTCCCTGTGTTCGTGAT